ACTACTTTCGTATTGAAAACGTTGTTGCTGTACGACTTGCCAAGAGCCTAACGAAGCTGCCTGCTGCACCCTATGCAGACAGCTGTACACTGGTGCACTATGATAATGATGTGACCCCTGGTTTTCATTACTACGAAGCTGATGGTACTGCCTTGAACATCTACGACATCACAGGATCTACACACTCACGCATCATCCAGTGTCTTAAATCTAGGAAGCCGCCTGCTGGATCTGACCGAGACCTCACTAAGTTTGAGGAACTCGCTGATGGTCCACCACCAAGCGAGTCACCTCCAGCAGCTGCTCCTGAGCAGCCTCCTGCGGAGAACGATGGTCGGCTCCCGACCATCATAGAGGAAACAGAAGAAGATCTGGATGCCTTTGTCTTGAATTCGTGGTATGCTGAACTGATGGATGACAGAACACTCCTTGAAGCTGACACAGAGGAAGTCATGCATACAGTTCCCACATACATGACAGACACACAGTGTGTGTTAGTCTCTACGACCTGTGAAGATGTGCAAGGCCACTTGCCGGAGCGGGGTCACCCGCCAGGATACGACATGGACACTTCTTACTACGTTCCTTTATGCTCCACGGATCCGGATAGCAAATATGATCTGGACTCCGATGAGCACGGGAAGTACATCGAGCTCTGCTTCACAGCAGACATGTCCAAAGTCGTCCTGTCCGAGCAGCAACACCGATTGTTGGATGACAGCAGCGTCACAACTATGCGAGTGTACGTTAGTGCTGCCTCCAAACGTGCCGTGGTCGTCAAGGAAGACGATCTACTCACGAAGGCCGATATCCAAGCAAATCCGGTCAAAGTTTCCAAAGCCCTTTACACAGAATTGAAGACTTGGCTTGACAATAAATGCTTTCAGATGACTGACTTGAGCAAAGCGTCTAATATCATGACGTCACGCTACGTATACAAATGGAAGTTTGTCAAGAACGAAAAGGGCGAAATGGAAAGGACGATCAGGTTACGCTTGGTACTCCGTGGCTTCATGGACCTTGAAGCCTTTGATGTCGAAACCTTCTCTGGCACGGCAAGGAGGTCAAGCCAGAGACTGCTCGCAAGTTCTGCTGCATGCAACAAAGCTTGGATCATCGCTTCCCTGGACATCAACATGGCTTTCTTGAAGGGACTGACCTACAGCGAGCTCGCCGCGGCAACGGGCGAGAAAGAGCGTGTGGTGTGCTTCACACTACCACCTGGGTCAGCAGCTGTCCTTCGCACACTGCCAGGCTTTGAGTCATATGACGAATCAAAGCATTGTCTTCGGTGTCTGAAGCCGGGGACGGGCACGAAGGATGCTCCCAGGGCATTCTCGCTGAAGCTCAGGTCCATCACTAGGAGCTTTGGGCTACAGCCTACTTCATACGACGAAGAGTTCGAGATGAGCTCAAACCTCTTGACAGCCAAGCACGTTGATGACATCAATATGACTGGGAAGGAAGAGGCTATTGACAAGTATGTCAAGTGTGTTGAAGATACGTTTGGGAAGTGCAAACTGAACAAGCACACATACACAAACTGTGCCGTTCGGTATAACAAGACCGATGATGGGAGCGTCACTCTTGATCAGGACGAATACATCAAACAGCTTCGTCCTATCACACATCCAGAACTCACAGGAGCTGATCCTGAGAGCAAAGCGACAAAGACGATTTCTGATATGTTCGTCAGTCTTCGTGTCGCTCTAGCCTATGCGTTAATCACGCAGGTATGGCTGATGGTCTATGTTGTCTCACTACAACGTATCCAGGAACCGACAAACATCCAGGTACGACGACTAAACGCGGTTACCAGAAAACTACAGGCAGGTCCGAAGAAGATCGTGTATCAAGCTATGACCCCAACAGGAGAAGTCGACCTGCATAGCGATTCTGGCTATCGTCGTCTCAACGGAGATGAAGACGACGAAGTCAAAGGCTATGGTATCCGCGGGGCTAACCTGCTGAGGCGTGGCCACACGCAAGCGGGGAAACCCGTCGTGCACCTGGTGGACGCATACTGCAAGTCTCATCGACTGCAGGTGCGTTCGAGCTACTCTGCGGAAACACTGGCAGCAGCCCACAACTTGGAAGACTGCTACCCGACCATTGTAACGCTCCACGAGCTACACTCGGGACCATTGACCCCCACACAGTTAAAGAACATATTGGAAATGGGTGGTCTATGTATCAAAGTCACTCTGACTATTGATGCCGAGTCTGTCTTCAAGTCTTTGTCTAGCAAAGATCTGAAGAAGCCCACAGAATGTACTCTGCTTGGGCACATTAGCTGGATCCGCCAGATGATGGAGCGCGGAATCGTTGAAAGCGTTCAATGGTGTGACACGCGGGATATGACTGCCGATGGTCATACCAAAGGTAGTATTGACCGCGCGTTGCTCCTACAAGTAATGGCCGGCCAGCAATCCTTCAAGCACGAGCTGAAGAAACATACACCGTATAGGGCGGGCAGGTCGTCTCAGGACGGCCCTGCCTCCCGAGCTAGCGGGGAAACCCGCGGGCAGGTGCGCTTTAATAGCGAGGAAACTCGCCGGTAGCGAGGCTACTCGCGCGCCCTTTCCTTGTAGGCAGCCGCTGCTGCTTAGCACTGTTTTTCCGCATAATGTAGAAGTGCGGTGCCTGCTCGTCTCCTCCCCCTCCGACTTTAAACGGAGAAGGTTAAAGGCGAGGTATAAATCGAGCATGTACCGCTGCCGTGCCTGGCTCAAGCCGGGCCCGGCCAAATATGTGATTGTGCCTCACCGAGGCGCACGACTTGTATCTGAGATCGGAAAATACCTTTTCCATTGACGATGCCCATCCTATCCTTTACTCCAGATCCCATGCTTCGTCTTGCTCTCTTGCTCATGCGATATGAGCCAAAGCCTGGGATATGGCAACGCTTAAAGCGTAACACATACCTAAGCTTACCAGTGTGTTTTCGACTGCTTCACGCGGCGGGGAAGGGGGGGTGACCGTCTGCGCCCGCCTCGGCGAGCGGGCGCGCAGCCGCGGAATCAGGCCTTCCCAGACGCCCCAGATGCGTCAATCCGCGTTAGCGCCGACATGGGCGTGGAGCGCGCAGCAGCGAAAGAAAAAGTGACCTTGCGCGAACTGGCGTGCGAGCGCGATTATTCCGCGTGCCCGTCAGGCCCTGGCCGGGTAATCCCGCGGCGCCCGCCGCCGCGCGACCCGCGCCAGGGTGGGCTGATTTGGGCGACGGCGTTCATTGCGAGGCGAAGACACCGGGCATATGATTATTTGGCACGTCAGACAGAGCGCAACCGTTGCAGGCACCCTTGGGTTTCGCAGGTCGGGGCGCGGGCGTCGCCGCCATTGCCCGCCGCGCGGTGCGATGGCTATGCGCAGCAGGCTCTTGCGACTCAGTCGTTGAATTTGGTTCCATGCGGCGCGCTGCGAGACGCGCGGCAGCGGGCTTTCCGATGGCGCAGGGGGCATGGCACCACGCGAAAAGATGGACCTCGCGGCGAGGTGCGCTGCCCTGCGCAATAGCGACCGCGCTACGCGCCGAGCGATGTTGCGGTCCACGCGCAGGTGCGGGGCAATCTTCCCTTGCGCAGGTATTGTCAGCGATCCCGAGAGGCGCGTCTGCCCGCGCGTTTCTCAGCGCAGCGCGGTCCCAGGTGCTCGCCCTACTGATTATTCAGCTCCGTGTCCCTCGTCGTGGTCATTGGACTCCGACGGCGGTTGCTTGGCTCCAGCGGGGTACACTGGCCCTTGCGTCCGTCGCAAAAGGTCAGCGCAGTCGCTCGACCGCGCCGTCGGCGCAGCCGCGCGCGCGCGGGCGCATTGAAGATCGCCTCGGAAATTTCAGAGCGCGCGTCAGCGTGACAGGTTTTCCGGTTTTACCAGGATGGAGAAATCTACATGGGGTTCGGCGCGCGAGCCATGGTTCCCCGCGCGCGCGGCCCCAGCATCGCAGCTGTCCAATGTGGCGCGGGGTGGCCTGACAAAAATTAGACGGCGCGCGCGCGCGAGCACCCTGCCGCCTCTTGAGAGCAGCGCTTCCTCCGAAAAGTCCCAGGTGCGCTTTGCGTTGCGAGCAGCTGCGTCGGAGTGCTTCGTCGCTCCGCGCTCTCCCGCGCCCCCAGCCCCGTCGTCTGCAGGAGTCTCATCGACGTCGCTTGGGCAGCGCGGAGGAATCGGAACGGGCCCCATCTGCGATTCACCCGATTTGCGAATATGCTTGCCATGTTTGTGCTTGTGGCTTGCATGACTTGCAGCGCGGCCGCTGTCGCAGATTCGCGGCGCCCCTGGCCCTCGCGTCGCGGCGCGCAGGGGCGCGCGTGCAGTTGCGGACAGGCGCGCGTCTGAGGCGCCGCGGGGGGGGGAAGCGCCTGTGCTCGAAGTGAGCTTGGCGGGCCAGCGCCGGCAGGGCGCTGGCGGCGCGTCTCGACGCGGCACGGCCAGGACGCCCCGGCCGCGCCTTATCCAGAAATAGCCGATCTCATAAGGCGCAGCGCGTCGCACGATGGAAGACGCGCGACGCCAACCAGCCTGCAGTTCACTTGAAGAGGACAGGCGGGCCGTCGAAGCGGCGCGCCCCCGCGGCGCGCGCGCGCCGGGGCGCCGAGCCCGCCGTCTCATCGGCAGGCTGGCATGCGCAGCGTCCGCAGTAATTTTTCGCACGCGTTCGAAATGGCGCAAGGTTTGATCGGCAGCGCGGTCGCGGAGTTGGCGCGGCGCTCGGGAAATTCTTCTGCGCAGAGGGGGCTCGCTACGAGGCGCGGCCCGCTTGCCGCCGCAACGACAGCGCGCGTCGTCGGTTGCCGCGGCCGCCGAAGGCCGTGGGAAGTTGCGCAGAGGCGCGGACCCTTGGCGATGGCTTGCGCCGCCAGATCGGTTGCGGCGTTTCTCCTGCAGCCGAGAAACTATATCTTTCCTATCGCATCGGGTCGGCCGCGCGGCGGGCGCTGCCCCTGCGGTGAAATTGAACGTGGCCCCGCGTCGGCCGGCGGACGCAGCGATACTTCGAGCGATTTCAGACATCGAGCAGCGCCGGAACTTGGAGGGCGCGCGGCGCATGGAGAAGGTCGCCCGCCGCCATCGCATCCCCGTCGCCGCGCGCGCAAGACGCGCCAGACGCCCGATTTGGCGAAGGCGGCTTCTGAGATGGCCGGCGTGACGCAAACCGTCTTGGATGCGCTGCGCGCTGGGCCCGGCGCAGATGGCAGCGCCGTGCCAGCGGGCGGCCTCCGTCGAGCCGCGTTCAGCGACAGCGCCGCGGGGTTTGTCGAATTTGCTCGGCAAGGTAACGGACCGCAGGTAGCGCGCCTGGGCCGCTCGCCCGGGGCGCCACGTTTGCGCGGCAAGGGTGGCGTTCGAGCAATTCCCCCCGCGGTGCCGTTCCCGACGATGGCTTCCTTCGTCCAGGCGAAAGTCGCGCGCCCGCGCCGGCGCCGGCGCTGCGCTTGCTGCCCCAGTCAATGGAAAGACGGCGCGATGCTTCCGAGCAGCTGGATCCCAGCGCGAACCGTTGAGTTGCGCGGGGGGCGGGCGCCGCTGCTGCGACGGGCCCGCCAGGGCGACATCGCCTTGCGCCGCGCTGGAGGAGAGCGCCCAGATTCTGCGCATGGAAGCCGCGCTCGCCAAGGCCGAGGGATTCCCGCTGAAGTCACGGGTCCGCTGGCGGCGCTGGCTGCACGGCGCGCGCCAAGGCAGAGGTGGGCATGGTTCGGGAGGCGGTCGCCAGAGGCCGCTGACGCTGCCGCGCGACGCTGCGCTGCGCGGTCGCACGCGGCCCAGCGGCCGCAACGGCGCGCTTGCTGCGGCGGCCGCGCCGACGGCGAGGCGACGCGGGCGGGGGTGCGATGGAGAGCGTTTGATTCATGGCGCGGCAGTTTTGGGCCACACGCGCGCGGCGCGCCCCTGGGGCGAGAGCTTGCCCGCGGAAGTTCGCCGGGGCGGCGCGGCGCAGCTCGCGGGGCGAATCGCTTGGCTTTCGCTTCTCCCGCGCGGCCTGAGCGCTGGCGGGCCCCGCCTGGGCGGACCTAGAGCCGCCGCCCTGGTGCCTCGGGCCATCGCTGCGCAGCGGCCCGGCCTGGGCGGGCCGATGCGTGGCCTCCTCGCGGGCCGGGCCCGGCGCGCGGCCTGCCGTGCTCGAGGGCCTGGTGGGCGGTGCATTGGGGGCCGGGGGCGAGGGCGTCTCCCGGCGGGAGAAACGAGCGGAGTTTCGCCGAGGCCCCCGCCCCAGAGACCAAGGAGAGGTCGCGACTGGGCGAGGCGCGCCGCGGAGCTGGGCTGCCGCCCGAAGGCGCGCGCGAGCAAATAACTAATTCAGAGCGCGCGCCGCGTCCCCCGCCCCGCCCCGCCCCCAGTTGCGATCGCAGTCAACTCGCGCGCATTTGTTGGCGCGCAGACCGCGCGAGCGGCTGGGCGCGCGCGCGCGTTTGATCTGCGCGGCGCGACGGGTGCTCGCGGCGGGGCCAGCGCCAACGCAGCCGACGCCTGGCGCTCTCCGCCCCGCCTCGCCTGGGCAGGAGGGGCGAGGGCAGGTGCGACGGCGCCCGCGCGGGCTCGCGACGACTCAGCTCGCGAAGCGGGGGGGGGCGCGGGAAAGCACGCGCGCGCGAGCATCCCCGGCGCCTTCACTTGGCATGTTTTTTGTTTTTGTTGGGTTGCGCTCGCCGCGCGTGGGACTTGCAGTTCTGGCGTGGCGCGCCGCAGCTTCCTCAAGAAGCGCGATGGGCGAATGCGCTTCCGACGCGGGCGTCGGCAGGACCACGTGCCCCGCCGCCCTGGTTCAAGCGATTCGAGGGCGCGCGGCGCGCGGGAGATTCGCGCGGCTGGGCTCGCAGCGGCTGGCGCGATGCAGCGCGTCTTTTTCGCTGTATCCGCGTGCGCTGCCATAGCCAGCGCCGCTGGATCATTTCGCGCCGTCGCAGCCGGCCGGGCAAGCGCGCCGCCGGATCGACGCGCGGCCGGCGACGCGCGCGTCGTCAGGCGAGCGGGCCAGCGTTTCCGGCACGAGCGGCGTCGCCGCTGGCGACGCAGATGTCGAGTTGACCCTGCGCGCGCCCGGCGCGGAAGGACTCCCGCGAGGCGGCGCGCGATCGTCGTCGCTGGCGCCGCAGAAGAGTCGACGGAGCAGGTTCTGGCTTCCTTGCGCGAATTGGCGGAGGACGCGCGGCCCGTCTAGCTGCGACCCCCCCGGCGCAGCGCGGCCGCAGCGCGAACGCGCCGTGCGCGACGCTGCTGACGCGGGAATCCGCGACGACAAGGGCGCGCTGATTGAGGCAGACCCCTGCTTCGCGCGCGCGCAGCCCGACTCGAGCCGGACGCGCGCGCGGCGCAGGCGGCGCGCGAGGCTGTCCGGCGAGGCGTTGCCCCTCAGCGCCGCGCGCTCGCGTCGTTCCGCGCCCCGACCCAGCGGGAAACAATGCGATCGTCGATCTTCAGTGCGGCGGCGCGCGCCCTCCCCGCCGCCTGCCGATAGCGCGGCGGCCTCGGCTGTTCCATGCGTCTCGCGCTTCAGTTGGAGCCGATCATGGGGGGGGGGGGGGTCGTCGGCGTTTGTGCGGGGCACTCTTCGTTGGGTCCTCCGCGGGAATGCGAATGGAGCTGTTCTCCCCCGTCGCGCGCCTTCCGCGCGTTCGCCGTTTGTCGGGCTCCGCGGAGTCTTACCCGGATGGAGAAATCTACATGGGGTTCGGCGCGCGAGCCATGGTTCCCCGCGCGCGCGGCCCCAGCATCGCAGCTGTCCAATGTGGCGCGGGGTGGCCTGACAAAAATTAGACGGCGCGCGCGCGCGAGCACCCTGCCCCCTCTTTAGAGCAGCGCTTCTTCCGAAAAGTCCCAGGTGCGCTTTGCGTTGCGAGCAGCTGCGTCGGAGGGCTTCGTCGCTCCGTGCTCTCCCGCGCCCCCGGCCCCGTCGTCTGCAGGAGTCTCATCGACGTTGCTTGGGCAGCGCGGAGGAATCGGAAAGGGCCCCATCTGCGATTCGCCCGATTTGCGAATATGCTTGCCATGTTTGTGCTTGTGGCTTGCATGACTTGCAGCGCGGCCGCTGTCGCAGATTCGCGGCGCCCCTGGCCCTCGCGTCGCGGCGCGCAGGGGCGCGCGTGCAGTTGCGGACAGGCGCGCGTCTGAGGCGCCGCGGGGGGGGGAAGCGCCTGTGCTCGAAGTGAGCTTGGCGGGCCAGCGCCGGCAGGGCGCTGGCGGCGCGTCTCGACGCGGCACGGCCAGGGCGCCCCGGCCGCGCCTTATCCAGAAATAGCCGATCTCATAAGGCGCAGCGCGTCGCACGATGGAAGACGCGCGACGCCAACCAGCCTGCAGTTCACTTGAAGAGGACAGGCGGGCCGTCGAAGCGGCGCGCCCCCGCGGCGCGCGCGCGCCGGGGCGCCGAGCCCGCCGTCTCATCGGCAGGCTGGCATGCGCAGCGTCCGCAGTAATTTTTCGCACGCGTTCGAAATCGCGCAAGATTTGATCGGCAGCGCGGTCGCGGAGTTGGCGCGGCGCTCGGGAAATTCTTCTGCGCAAAGGGCGCTCGCTACGAGGCGCGGCCCGCTTGCCGACGCAACGACAGCGCGCGTCGTCGGTTGCCGCGGCCGCCGAAGGCCGTGGGAAGTTGCGCAGAGGCGCGGACCCTTGGCGATGGCTTGCGCCGCCAGATCGGTTGCGGCGTTTCTCCTGCAGCCGAGAAAATATATCTTTCCTATCGCGTCGGGTCGGCCGCGCGGCGGGCGCTGCCCCTGCGGTGAAATTGAACGTGGCCCCGCGTCGGCCGGCGGACGCAGCGATACTTCGAGCGATTTCAGACATCGAGCAGCGCCGGAACTTGGAGGGCGCGCGGCGCATGGAGCAGGTCGCCCGCCGCCATCGCATCCCCGTCGCCGCGCGCGCAAGACGCGCCAGACGCCCGATTTGGCGAAGGCGGCTTCTGAGATGGCCGGCGCGACGCAAACCGTCTTGGATGCGCTGCGCGCTGGGCCCGGCGCAGATGGCAGCGCCGTGCCAGCGGGCGGCCTCCGTCGAGCCGCGTTCAGCGACAGCGCCGCGGGGTTTGTTGAATTTGCTCGGCAAGGTAACGGACCGCAGGTAGCGCGCCTGGGCCGCTCGCCCGGGGCGCCACGTTTGCGCGGCAAGGGTGGCGTTCGAGCAATTCCCCCCGCGGTGCCGTTCCCGACGATGGCTTCCCTCGTCCAGGCGAAAGTCGCGCGCCCTCGCCGGCGCCGGCGCTGCGCTTGCTGCCCCAGTCAATGGAAAGACGGCGCGATGCTTCCGAGCAGCTGGATCCCAGCGCGAACCGTTGAGTTGCGCGGGGGGCGGGCGCCGCTGCTGCGACGGGCCCGCCAGGGCGACATCGCCTTGCGCCGCGCTGGAGGAGAGCGCCCAGATTCTGCGCATGGAAGCCGCGCTCGCCAAGGCCGAGGGATTCCCGCTGAAGTCACGGGTCCGCTGGCGGCGCTGGCTGCACGGCGCGCGCCAAGGCAGAGGTGGGCATGGTTCGGGAGGCGGTCGCCAGAGGCCGCTGACGCTGCCGCGCGACGCTGCGCTGCGCGGTCGCACGCGGCCCAGCGGCCGCAACGGCGCGCTTGCTGCGGCGGCCGCGCCGACGGCGAGGCGACGCGGGCGGGGGTGCGATGGAGAGCGTTTGATTCATGGCGCGGCAGTTTTGGGCCACACGCGCGCGGCGCGCCCCTGGGGCGAGAGCTTGCCCGCGGAAGTTCGCCGGGGCGGCGCGGCGCAGCTCGCGGGGCGAATCGCTTGGCTTTCGCTTCTCCCGCGCGGCCTGAGCGCTGGCGGGCCCCGCCTGGGCGGACCTAGAGCCGCCGCCCTGGTGCCTCGGGCCATCGCTGCGCAGCGGCCCGGCCTGGGCGGGCCGATGCGTGGCCTCCTCGCGGGCCGGGCCCGTCGCGCGGCCTGCCGTGCTCGAGGGCCTGGTGGGCGGTGCATTGGGGGCCGGGGGCGAGGGCGTCTCCCGGCGGGAGAAACGAGCGGAGTTTCGCCGAGGCCCCCGCCCCAGAGACCAAGGAGAGGTCGCGACTGGGCGAGGCGCGCCGCGGAGCTGGGCTGCCGCCCGAAGGCGCGCGCGAGCAAATGACTAATTCAGAGCGCGCGCCGCGTCCCCCGCCCCGCCCCGCCCCCAGTTGCGATCGCAGTCAACTCGCGCGCATTTGTTGGCGCGCAGACCGCGCGAGCGGCTGGGCGCGCGCGCGCGTTTGATCTGCGCGGCGCGACGGGTGCTCGCGGCGGGGCCAGCGCCGACGCAGCCGACGCCTGGCGCTCTCCGCCCCGCCTCGCCTGGGCAGGAGGGGCGAGGGCAGGTGCGACGGCGCCCGCGCGGGCTCGCGACGACTCAGCTCGCGAAGCGGGGGGGGGCGCGGGAAAGCACGCGCGCGCGAGCATCCCCGGCGCCTTCACTTGGCATGTTTTTTGTTTTTGTTGGGTTGCGCTCGCCGCGCGTGGGACTTGCAGTTCTGGCGTGGCGCGCCGCAGCTTCCTCAAGAAGCGCGATGGGCGAATGCGCTTCCGACGCGGGCGTCGGCAGGACCACGTGCCCCGCCGCCCTGGTTCAAGCGATTCGAGGGCGCGCGGCGCGCGGGAGATTCGCGCGGCTGGGCTCGCAGCGGCTGGCGCGATGCAGCGCGTCTATTTCGCTGTATCCGCGTGCGCTGCCATAGCCAGCGCCGCTCGATCATTTCGCGCCGTCGCAGCCGGCCGGGCAAGCGCGCCGCCGGATCGACGCGCGGCCGGCGACGCGCGCGTCGCCAGGCGAGCGGGCCAGCGTTTCCGGCACGAGCGGCGTCGCCGCTGGCGACGCAGATGTCGAGTTGACACTGCGCGCGCCCGGCGCGGAAGGACTCCCGCGAGGCGGCGCGCGATCGTCGTCGCTGGCGCCGCAGAAGAGTCGACGGAGCAGGTTCTGGCTTCCTTGCGCGAATTGGGGGAGGACGCGCGGCCCGTCTAGCTGCGACCCCCCCGGCGCAGCGCGGCCGCAGCGCGAACGCGCCGTGCGAGACGCTGCTGACGCGGGAATCCGCGACGACAAGGGCGCGCTGATTGAGGCAGACCCCTGCTTCGCGCGCGCGCAGCCCGACTCGAGACGGACGCCACCGCGGGCGCAGGCGGCGCGCCGACGCTGTCGGGAGGCGTGCCCCTCCGCGCCGCGCGCTCGCGTCGTTCCGCGCCCCGACCCAGCGGGAAACAATGCGATCGTCGATCTTCAGTGCGGCGGCGCGCGCCCTCCCCGCCGCCTGCCGATAGCGCGGCGGCCTCGGCTGTTCCATGCGTCTCGCGCTTCAGTTGGAGCCGCTTATGGGGGGGGGGTCGTCGGCGTTTGTGCGGGGCACTCTTCGTTGGGTCCTCCGCGGGAATGCGAATGGAGCTGTTCTCCCCCGTCGCGCGCCTTCCGCGCGTTCGCCGTTTGTCGGGCTCCGCGGAGTCCGTGTTCGGCTTTGGCCACGCCCCAGTTCAGAGCGTCGCTCGGGCCCCAGGGTTGGCCGCGTCTTCGGCGCGGACTGGCGCTCGGATTTCTGCGTGGCAAGCGGCGCTCTGCCGCGCGCTCCGTTGCTCTTTGCTTGACGAGCGCTTCGGTTCGCAGGCGAGTGGTGCAATCCTCGGCAGCGCAGGCGCCGTGTCCGCGGGCGCCAGGCCCGAGGTGCCTCGCCGCTGCATCTGCAGCGCGGGGAATGATTTGCAGGCTGCCAAGTTTGCTTGCTTCAGGGCGCCCGCCAGAGCGGGCGGCGCCACGCGCCCGACGTAGAGCGCGCCGCCCTGCCGCCGATGAAGCGCTGCTCGTTTGCGCGACGCAGTGCGCGACTTTGCCGCGCTGTGTCTCGCGCGGCAGCGGCGACGGCGACGACGAACCTCGCGCCGTCAGCGCGCGATTAGAGTTCAAGCGCAGCCCGCCCGGCTGCTTTCATTGCATGGGCTTTGAAATCAACGCGCGCGCACGCGCGCACGCGCGCATATATACAGTTATAACTTATCACGTATATACATATATAGGTGTATATATACACACATGTATTTATTCATGTATACATATACACATGCGCGCAGAAGTACGCATTCCCCAAACAGTGGTTGCAATTAGGGCGGTTCGTTTCTTTCCTAAGGAACTGGGCTCCGTTGTCGGGTCCGCCGCCCTGCGGTCGCCGTCGCCGCTTCGTCGCCGCCTGGCGTCTGGCCCCGTTGTCGGGCCCGCCGCCTCGCGGTCGCCGCCGCCGCCCCGCCGCCTCGCGCGCGTGGGCGACGCGGCGGCGCCGCGCCCGTCGCGCCCGACGCGCCCGCCCCGCCCGCCCGCCCAACCCGTCGTCGTTTGCCAGCGACGAGTTCTGGTGGGGGGGTCCAACATGTTCCGTTGCTTCGCCAGCTCGATGCGCCCCCTGGAAGCAATCCAAGGCCTGCGAACTTGCAGCCCGCCTGCTCGCGCGACGTGGCATGTCGTTCCCCACGCGCGTGGATTCGCGCTTCCCCGCTTCAGCTTGCTCGAACAATCGCTCTCGCGCGCCAGCGCGGCGCCGCGCGCGCGGCGCTTCTCGCGCATGGAGCCGAGCGCCCGCCACGCGCTTGCCGCCAGAGGGTTGGGATCTCCATCTCTCCGAGGCGCGCTGCTCGCCGGGTCCGCCCGCGTCGCCGCGGCGCGCGAGGGGGGCCCGGGTGCTCGCCGCGGCGAGCTCGCGGCCAGAGCGAATCGCCAAGCCGCGACGCTGGCCGCCGATGGGCGCGATGAGCGCTCCGCTGCAGCACTCTGTCTGCGCGCTAGCATGTCTCGCGATTGCGGCGTCGACGGCGCCGCCGCGCACTGCGGTCGCGCGTTGGCTCGCTGGCCCGCGCGCGCGCGACGCGACTCGCGCGTTGCCTGGCGGCCCTGGCGCTGGGCAAGCGCCGCGGCGCCGCCTCGGAGGATGTCCGCGCGGCGAATGGGCTCGCAGAGCTGCTCCACGCGGCGGGGAAGGGGGGGTGACCGTCTGCGCCCGCCTCGGCGAGCGGGCGCGCAGCCGCGGAATCAGGCCTTCCCAGACGCCCCAGCTGCGTCAATCCGCGTTAGCGCCGACATTGGCATGGAGCGCGCAGCAGCGAAAGAAAAAGTGACCTTGCGCGAACTGGCGTGCGAGCGCGATTATTCCGCGTGCCCGTCAGGCCCTGGCCGGGTAATCCCGCGGCGCCCGCCGCCGCGCGACCCGCGCCAGGGGGGGCTGATTTGGGCGACGGCGTTCATTGCGAGGCGAAGACACCGGGCATATGATTATTTGGCACGTCAGACAGAGCGCAACCGTTGCAGGCACCCTTGGGTTTCGCAGGTCGGGGCGCGGGCGTCGCCGCCAGTGCCCGCCGCGCGGTGCGATGGCTATGCGCAGCAGGCTCTTGCAACTCAGTCGTTGAATTTGGTTCCATGCGGCGCGCTGCGAGACGCGCGGCAGCGGGCTTTCCGATGGCGCAGGGGGCATGGCACCACGCGAAAAGATTGACCTCGCGGCGAGGTGCGCTGCCCTGCGCAATAGCGGACGCAGCCGCCCCCAAGCGATGTTGCGGTCCAAGGCAGGTGCGGAGGCAATCTTCCCTGCGCAGGTATTTGTCAGCGATCCCGAGAGGCCGCGTCTGCCGCGCGTTTCTCAGCGCAGGCGCGGCCCGGTGCTCGCCCTTACTGATTATTCAGCTCCGTTCCCATCGTTCGGGGTCATTGGACTCCGACGGCCGTTGCTTGCTCCATGAAGCCCGAGGTCGTTCCTTGCGTTCCGTCGCAAAACGATCAGCGCAGTCGCTCGACCGCGCCGTCGGCGCGGCCGCGCGCGCGCGCGGGCGCATTGAAGATCGCCTCGGAAATGTCAGGGCGCGCGTCAGCGTGACAGGTTTTCCGGTTTTACCAGGATGGAGAAATCTACATGGGGTTCGGCGCGCGAGCCATGGTTCCCTGCGCGCGCGGCCCCAGCATCGCAGCTGTCCAATGTGGCGCGGGGTGCCTGACAAAAATTAGACGGCGCGCGCGCGCGCGAGCACCCTGCCCCCTCTTTAGAGCAGCGCTTCTTCCGAAAAGTCCCAGGTGCGCTTTGCGTTGCGAGCAGCTGCGTCGGAGGGCTTCGTCGCTCCGTGCTCTCCCGCGCCCCCGGCCCCGTCGTCTGCAGGAGTCTCATCGACGTTGCTTGGGCAGCGCGGAGGAATCGGAAAGGGCCCCATCTGCGATTCGCCCGATTTGCGAATATGCTTGCCATGTGTGTGCTTGTGGCTTGCATGACTTGCAGCGCGGCCGCTGTCGCAGATTATCCAGATTTGCGCGGGCCCCGCCACTGGCTCTCGCCGCGGTGGCGCGAGGGGCGCGCGTGAAGTGCGGACGGCCCCCCAGAGGCGCCGCGGGGGGGGGAGGAAGCGCCTGTGCTCGATGTGAGCTTGGCCCGGGCAGCAGGCAGGCAGGGCGCTGGCGGCGCGTCTCGACGCGGGCACGGCCAGGGGCGCACCCCCCCCCGGCCGCGCCCTCTTATCCAGAAAATAGCCGATGTCCATAAGGCGCCGCGCGTCGCACGAATGGAAGACGCGCGAACGCAAACCAGCCTGCAGTTCACTTGAAGAGGACAGGCGGGCCGTCGAAGCGGCGCGCCCCCGCGGCGCGCGCGCGCCGGGGCGCCGAGCCCGCCGTCTCATCGGCAGGCTGGCATGCGCAGCGTCCGCAGTATTTTTTCGCACGCGTTCGAAATCGCGCAAGATTTGATCGGCAGCGCGGTCGCGGAGTTGGCGCGGCGCTCGGGAAATTCTTCTGCGCAAAGGGCGCTCGCTACGAGGCGCGGCCCGCTTGCCGACGCAACGACAGCGCGCGTCGTCGGTTGCCGCGGCCGCCGAAGGCCGCGGGAAGTTGCGCAGAGGCGCGGACCCTTGGCGATGGCTTGCGCCGCCAGATCGGTTGCGGCGTTTCTCCTGCAGCCGAGAAAATATATCTTTCCTATCGCGTCGGGTCGGCCGCGCGGCGGGCGCTGCCCCTGCGGTGAAATTGAACGTGGCCCCGCGTCGGCCGGCGGACGCAGCGATACTTCGAGCGATTTCAGACGTCGAGCAGCGCCGGAACTTGGAGGGCGCGCGGCGCATGGAGCAGGTCGCCCGCCGCCATCGCATCCCCGTCGCCGCGCGCGGAAGACGCGCCAGACGCCCGAGTTGGCGAAGGCGGCTTCTGAGATGGCTGGCGTGACGCAAACCGTCTTGGACGCGCTGCGCGCTGGGCCCGGCGCAGATGGCAGCGCCGTGCCAGCGGGCGGCCTCCGTCGAGCCGCGTTCAGCGACAGCGCCGCGGGGTTTGTCGAATTTGCTCGGCAAGGTAACAGACCGCAGGTAGCGCGCCTGGGCCGCTCGCCCGGGGCGCCACGTTTGCGC